AGCGTTCGTAGAAGCACTTCTGACGGTTGGCAATTTTAAGTTTGCTGTTCGCAGTAACAAAGTGATTAATCAGAATTCGGTTTCCAACGGTTGTTAAAATCCCCAACGATTGTGCGGACTAAAAATCAGCGACATGCGCAGAGGTGTTGTTGTTGTATAAATCTGTTTTATAACCACAAAACAAACGTTGGGTTGTTATAACAACTATATAAGTATAACTAAAAATAAAATATACTAAGAAAACTATAATCAAACTAATAAAATCAAATAAATGACTAATAATATTAAACAATAAATGCAAAAAAGTGAATAAAAAGATTTAACAAACCAATTAGATCGAATTCTAAAGGCCGTATGACACTATGCATTTTCTTGTATTATTTCTTATATCGTTTCTGATATAACAAAAAAATGGATAGTGTCATACAAGCGTATAGTTTTTATATCAGAAACGATACAAGAATTTGCGTCCGCTGCATTTTCTTGTACAAGAAATAACCGCTCTAAAAATTAATGATGAGTTTAAAGATTATTTTATATCTACAAATAAGAGAGTAGAATTTCAAGAGCATGTCATTCAAACACATAATTAAAAAAAAACAAATGAATTATTACAACCAAATTATTATTTCTATCTTCCATTACAGCCTGTTGAATATCTTCAAAAATTGTGGTTTCCAATTTAGTTTTAATATTGGCATTTTATTTCTTTCATTTTTGCACCACAGTATTTTAAAAAATAATCAGTAGCATATGTCCTCAGTCCCTAGTAGCTTGAAGTCCTCAGGTACTGCAGTTCTATTTTTATAGGTGTCAAAATTTCGACCAATCATGTGCCAAATCACATACAATTTCTGGTAAAAGACCTTGCATAGTGTCATACAGGGCAAAAATGTACGTGCAAGAAACGATACAAGAAAACATAAATAACTTTCTATATCAGAAACGATATAAGAAATGATACAAAAAAAATGCATAGTGTCATACGGCCTTAAGAAATAAGAAAAGGAGATTTCGAGATTTGACAAACGACAATGACAAATGCAAAATATCAAATTTTAGGTGTTCGCAGAGCACAAAATCACAAACTAATTCCAAACAGTTTCCAACTGAACATGCGCACTGTATTTCAAATCACAAACCGTTTGTAATCGCTACTACGAACAAACCATTGCTGGCACATTTATTAGATAAAAAGCCGAAGTGACTTTGTAATAAAATGTCGTTTTATCACAATAGGACCGGTAGTAAGGCAATAGGTCTATAATTGCAGAGATTCGATTTTTCACTATCCTTATGAAGAGGAATAATAATGGCTGTCTAATTAGTGAGACCAGAATTTCCAACACATAGTGTTGTGTGCATCAATACTACAGGAAGATTTGATTTTGATACTACTGATTGTTTGGATCAGTTTAGATTTATAAACTGGTCTTATAAAGAATGAATTTGATGGGAAATAGGATATTGTTGTTGCAAAATAGTTGATGTTATATTTTTACTCACATTAGCGAAGTATTCATATTTAAATTTTCAGGGTTTTTAACAGAAAATGTTTGAGCTTTGTTAGTTTTATTGCGAAGATCGTTTAATATGAACTAAGTTTCTCTTGCAACATTTTTATAGCTTCCCAGACAATTCTGATAGTATATTTTTTAGGTGTTTTGATAGGTTTTTTTGTTGGAGAAATATTCAGTGACAAATATGTTGGTAGTAAATTTCTTGATGTATTGTAGTAAACGCATATTCTTGGCTGATATGCGGATAACTTTGGTAGTCCAGGATTTGTGATGTTTTGAATTAATTTGAATTAAAGAAAATGCCTTATTGAAAATACAGACGAGCCTATCTAAAAAATTACGAAAACTATAGTCCAACTTCAGAGAAAAAAAATGAGACAATGTAATCAATTATAGCAGATGTTGTTTTAGTAATTCTTGTAGGAGAATTAACGTGTATTGTAAAACCAAACGATTCGAACATATTGACCAAGGATAATAACTATGTCACATCAATGCTTTCGATCATTTCTGTCCTAATTTTGGCCTACTTTTTAGGAATTTTATACATCTAATTGTCCTCTTTTGATCATGTACCATTTCATTTAAGCATTATAATTGTCTGTTGTAAGAGTCTTCCTGTGCAAAGCTTTACTTACTCGTTTTCCAATTATTTAGGTTGTCCCTCGTTAAATAATCCATATCTGTGTATTTAGGTCTCTTTGGCTTTTACTGAATCCATTTTACTATTCATTACGATAAAATCTAACGATGTGAGACCTGTAATTTATCAATTAAACATAATTTAAATGGATAAATAGCTGTGGAATGGACTAAAAATATTGATCTTATGAAAACTGTACTAAAAACAAACTGCATTTATTAGCACCTGAAATAGAATCGAATAGAATAGAATTTATTTAGTAAATATACAAAAATAGTTTTGAGTTTGTAAGAGTGCAATATAATGGTTGATTTGTATACCAGAACTTCAAGGTCTTATTCGTAATAAGGAAATGTTAGTAGTTGTAATATACAGGGTGTTTCAAAAAAAGGTAACCACGTCTCTAGGGTAGATAAAAAACTGAAAAATAATTAGGGTTTGCTTAGTAAAAAATTTCTGTAACGCCATCCGTTTTCAAGATACAGGGTCTTAAAGAAAAAAAAAATTACGCATTTTTTACGATTTTGCCGAAACTACTGGCAACATTATAATGAAATTTTATACGAATATGTTTTGGAAGCTGATATATACCATGATTTTTTTTTTATCTGATTCTCATAGGGGGCGCTAGTTACACGGATCGTACTAAATATTAGTCAATATAACTTTTAACAGTATAATTAGTAATCAAAATTTCAGGTAAACTTAAACATCATTCAATTTTACACGAAAAAGGTACTCTTGGTAAAACTCGATACTGTGTACCCTTTTCGGAATATTTTGATTTGAAATTTCTGATGTAATAATTGATGCTGGTAGTAATGATAAAGTTCTAATAGGTATACCTCTATTTTCTCCAAGTGTGCCATGGAAATCTGACATTCATTGATTGTTATGACGATAAATCAACAATAACTAGAGTTTAAACCTTGTTATTTGTAAAATCAAATCAAAATGTACTTAAATGTTGAACACACTGACATGTTATCAATGAATGTTTAGGATGTTCTAGTGCAGGTGTGACACGTTATGCAGAACAGTTTCCTATTTAGAAGAAACTTACCAAGTAAAAAAACTTTTAGAGCCGTTGAACGACGTTGTCGAGAAACTGGGAATGTGAGACCAAATAAAATAAATTCTGGTAGACCAAGAGCAACAAGAACAATTAACAAAGAAAATAATATTTTAAATTTACTTGATCAATATCCAACAGTTAGCGTAAGGAATATAGCAAGACAAACAAATACTTCTTCTTCAAGTACTTGGCGGATACTGAAAGAACACCAATTACATCCTTATCATTACAGACAAGTCCAAGAGCTCTTCCCAGATGATCTACCGGTTAGAGTGGATTTTTGTAAAAGATTGCAACAAAGGACAGCCCACAATCCAAATTTTTTAAAATGCATTCTTTTTACGGACCAGGCCACCTTTACGCGACAAAGTATGTTTAACTCCCATAATGCACATTACTGGTGTGATGAGAATCCACGAGTCAAAAGGGTATCACATTACCAACACTCATTTAAAGTTAATGTTTGGACAGCAACTTTAGGTAACAAATAGGTTATCATATTCTACCTGGAAATTTAAATGGTGGTATGTATCTTGATTTTTTAAACAATTCCTTATTGGAGATATTAGAAAATTTAACGCTAAACGAGCGAAGATCTTTATTTTTCATTTCGTTTTTAATTTCATTTTTCGGAATCATTTTCCGAATCGATGGATTGGTAGAGGTGCAGAAGCTCCGATTCACTGGCCTCCTCGATCATGCGATTTTAACCCTCTGGACTACGCAGTTTGGTCGTATATTAAGCAAAAAGTCTATGCTACAGAGCTAAATTCACGCCAAGAATTGGAAAAAAGTATTTAACGTCAATTTAATGACATCATAGCTGATCCCCTACCGTTTAGAAAGTTAATGGAATCTTTAGAAAAAAGAATAGACTTGTGTATTCGCGAAAACGGAGGGCATTTTGAACACTTACTGAAATTGAATTTTATTTTATGTTCTTAGTCATTAATTTAATTTTCTTCTTGTGAGTTTTGTTTAATTACTAACTATTTTATACCAGCATCAATTATTACATCATAATTATCAAATCAAAATATTCCGAAAACGTTACACACTATGTAGTTTTACCAAGATTACCTTTTTCATGTAAAATTTAATTATGTTTAAGTTTACTTAAAATTTTGATTAATAATTATACTCTTAAAAAAGTTATATTGACTAATACTTAGTACGATCCGTGTAACTAGTGCCCTCTATGAGAATCAGATATAAAAACAAATTCATGGGATGTATCAGCATCCAAAACATACTCGTATAAAATTTCATTACAATGTTGCCAGTAGTTTCGACAAAATCGTAAAAAATGCGTAAAATTTTTTTTTCTTCAACACTCTGTATCTTGAAAACGGATGGCGTTACAATAATTTTTTACTAAGTAAATCCCAATTATTTTCAGTTATTTACCTACTCTAAAGACAGGGTTACCTTTTTTGAAACACCCGTATAAGATTGAAATGAATTCGTATCAATAAAAGATTCTGCAAGAGGAGGAGAATTTATTATTTTCGGAATTAAATAGTCTAAAATTTCCCATTGACTATAATCTTACAACTTTGTGAGAAACATAGCTTTTCTCTTTGTAAATCATAATCGTATTTCAAACAGTTATTATTTTTTTTTGGTTTGCTGCAACATCCTAGCATGCCTGTAGTTACATAACTAAAGGACAATGGAGTAACTGCATCGTACAGTTGGGAATAAAGTAACGCAATATTTTTGAAATATCCTTTGTGTCTTTTATTATCTAACTTCTTAAATTATGAAGTTGTTAGTGAACATAAAAGTTAACGGTTCGTGTGCCACAAAAGTTTCTTTTATAGAGTGTTAGTGGAAGTCCGTTAAAACTATTTCGATAAATATTTTTTAGTTGTAGGCACGACATAAAATGTGAAAATTAATTGAAATTAATTTTTTTATAGGCAGTTTTCATAATGTTAATAACACGAGAAAAAGTTGCAAATCATCTTGTATGTATCATGAAACTAAAAACTATTTGGCAATTGAATTGAGTTGGTCACAAATATTGCAAAACTCATCCAAATAAAGTCGTTTATGAAGATATTAAAGTTAGGAAGGATATTAAATATTATGTGCAAATATATTTGCGGTGAGTGATCTGACAATTTCCTTCTTTATGTCTTTATTAATGTGATGTTAATAGGATATTATACTTTTTTTTCTTAAAAATGATTATGTCTGTTATCTCTGATGCCAATACACTTATGAGAGTACGGAAAATAGTCGCATGTATCCAAGAAAGAAATTTAATAATTATTGTAAACTTTTTTTTCTTCTCCAGCCTTAAGTAATCCAACTTTGGACATAATCCAGGGCCTCCCCCAAATTAATCCAGTGTTTTCTATTTTGCGCCACTTGCTTCCAGTTGTGTCCTCCGATGCTTTGGCAGGGTTAACTATTACTATTGTATTTTTTTTATTCTAAATAAATATGTTTGGTTAAAATTTGTCTTATTTGATATTCGAAACAACGGTAATGTAGCACAATATCCCCATTCTTCCGGAATACCCTTTCGTAAAGTTAGACGTTATCGTAAAGTTATCTAATTTTTAAATTAAGTAAACTGATAGTCATTTAAAACACTTATTGTCAATGTAGACACATTGCGTGAATACATTTAAAAAATGCTATAAAACGCAATGATAATATATCAATACTTTACAATAGAAGTCTTAAGAAAAGATTTTGTAGAACATTATCAACAAAAATATTCCGACATGAACACAATTAATAAAGAAATGCAACGAAAACTTTTGAAACCAGGACTGACTGTTGCAAAGTCAAAAATTAGTAACTGTACAATAAACAGTCTATACTACGTTCCACGTTTAGAAAATAACATTGCGGAGATAGGGCCATGTATTTCTTATGGACGATAGCAACGCGGCGTTGCCACGACACACACAAGCACAATTTAGGGTTGTATAATTTGTATTTTTGTTTCCACAAACATGAATTAAATTAATGTTTTTTAACGTAATTGACCAAAAGTGCCCATTCGAAAGAAGTGATGAAAAGTAGGGAAAATGATTTTAATTAGATAAATAGTATTTACAAAAGATAATTTTATTTTATGTTATTTTAATTATAGTAACGACAGTTTATTTGTTTTTCGGTGAGAATACGATATGCCATGAATCATAGAAATCAGTAGAAAATATTGACCGCTTGGAATGCGTATATCTAATTACTAATTGCAACTTAAAATAATACGATGTGCGTATGTCAGCTATTTTATGTCGTTCTCTGACTACATAATGATAATAAGTCTTTTATTTAGTAGTTATTCTGACTTTACAGTTAAATGTTAATTAAAAATGAAAATTCAAAAATTAAGCAAAGGAAATATCTTGGACATCCGTGCAAAAGAGAGTGTCTGAGAGTTTTGGCAACACTGATCTCCATAAGCGTAATGTTATTTTCTTAACTTGAAACAAAGAATAGGATAAATTTTGTGTACATAACTTAAGCCATTTGGCATTCTTATTCGAACTTTTAATCTCATTTTATACGTTTTCTATTAGTTTTATATACACTACACAGAATCAAGTGTTACGAATTTACGACTTAATGGGAAATAAAGTGTTACTAGAACTTTTATTTGTACGCCGTAAACATAAATCCTTCTTAAGTATTCTGTGATAAGGGAAAACCACATAAATATTCAAAGTCCGCACTGGCTGCCTATCAGTGTCCGATCCACCACCAAAATTACGTTTATCACCTGGACACACGTCCTCAAGGGAGCACGCTCCAGGTAAGGGTCTCTTCAGTCCCCTGGTGGTCATATAAGCTTTTCGGGGTTTTCCGGCTTTCCCTCACTCGCTATTATTTTAAAATACCACTCTTGAGAGCAATAACAGATAATTCCAAGCGTCGATGTAGATCAGCGTCAAAATGATGTAATTTCGTCACATATAATTCAAATTGATATAACTTTTTATGGAAACACGCCAATGAAAGTACACTTACATTTATTAGCTATTAATAAATTATTACTAGGGTAAATAAACAAAGATTTACAATTGGTATTTTACAAAAGGTTGTGATTTCCAGGTTTCTAGCGTCTAAGTTGATAAATAGATGATAATAATTAAAAAATTATAATCTGTTTTTTTTCACTGTTCGGTCTCTTTTTTTTAGTTTTTGATTTCCTCTTATCTTTTTAAAAATATTGTTTTGCTTCTTGGCTTTGGTTTGGGATCGTTATCCACGTAACTACATGTAAATATTAGTATTCATTCATACAGAATTGTACAGGGAGGTCACTTTCAAGCGGTTTATCAAAGTGACTTCATTGTAACACACAAAACATAAACCCTGATTAAACAGGTGGGCAACATATAGGTGCATATAGGTATGTTAAATGCGACACAAAAATTGGCAAAACTAGGGCATACAATTAATAAATGGTTAACAGCAACTTGTACTATTCATGGGTGGATTGTGTAACTAATGTTGAGGTCCTACTTAGAATAGGCAAGGAATGCGAGATTATTAACACCATCAAGGAGCGAAACCTAGAATATCTTGGCCATGTTATGAGGAATGAACAGAGATAGGGCTTGTTGCAACTCATTCTTCAGGGCAAGGTATTTGGAAAGAGGGGACCAGAAAGAAGAAGAATATCTTGGCTTCAAAACCTGAGAAAGTGGTTTAATACATCGACAACCGGACTATTCAGGATAGCAGCAAGCAAAGTTAGGATAGCCATGTTGATCGCTAACATCCGGAACGAATAGGCACCGTAAGAAGAAGAAGAAGCAACTTGTACATTAACTGTCTCACATATAGGTAGATCACTTTTAGACAATAAATTATGATTAAGTAAGTCTCGTGTATCCAATTTGTAATCTCGTTATCACCAATAATTGTTCTCTTCTGTTCCTAGTTGAGTGTTCCCAAGCTGCAACGTCATTTTTATTTTCCTTCAGTGATGTTTGAGAAGATTGCTCTTGTTATTTTTAATATATTTACCTAGGTTGTTATTTGTTTGTTGTTATTTGTTGTTTGAGCCAAAATAAAAAACACTTAAAGAGTGATGTGTACAAACTTCAATGTGGCGACTGCCCAAAAACTTACATCGGTCAAACTGGTAGAAACTTTGATAAACGAATAGCAGAACATAAAAGGGCTTTTAAGAATAGAAAAACGGATTCGACATACGCACTTCACCTTCTAGATCATAATCATTCTTTTAATGACAAATTTAAAATTCTGTCACGATCATACCTGTAGGAATTGGCCAGTGAGAAAATTTATCATTTCGCTGACAGGTTGTTGCTGTTTCATTCGTTTGGAAGGTTCATCTTTTACAAACGTAAAAGAGGAGCTTCCAGGGGAATCTCTAAGATATCTTCCAGGTAACTCATTTAAAGGACGACCTCTTTTTGGCGTTCTTAGTGGAGCTTTACAGAAAGCTAAAGCTTCTGCAACGTAAAACGTTAATTCCAATAAATCTACTTTTTTATTTTTAGGTTTATTTTGATTGTCCCGACAATACTCCAACTATGAGTTGCACACAGGTTCATTGAAATAGTGGAACATTATCTGTAAAGTCCACATCTTACTTCTAATAAACGTTCTATAAAGTGATACAATTTACTTGTAAGTGATACTTTTTAACTTATATTCGGGGGAAATATTTAAGGAAGCCTTAATGGAGACAACCGAAGGTATTATTGTGAATGGAGTAACCGTCAATAATATTAGAGATGCCGACGATACCTGAGTGCTTGCTAATTGCGGAGAAGACTTTCAAAATCTAATGAACAAAATAAAACAGACTTGTGATCAGTATGGAATAAAACTCAACGTTAACAAAACTAAATATATGATAGTTAGCAAACAAAATTATATACAGGATGACGGTATAAAAGTCGGAGATGCCACACTGGACAGAGTAGAGAAACTCGTGTATCTTGGCAGTGATATCAATGAGAGCTGGGATCCAACCGCAGAAATTAAAAGCCGAATAGAACAAGGCCGAGCTGCCTTTGTAAAAATGAGAAACGTACTTTGCAGTCACGATCTTAGCATTGACCTTAGAGTTCGAATGACATCTTGCTACATCTTTCCTGTCCTGCTGTATGGAGTGGAAGCGTGGACTCTAACTGGGGCCATCCTTAAATGCTTGACAGCCTTTAAATTGTGGGTATACAGACGACTACTGAAAATAAGCTGCGTCGACAGAGTTAGAAATGAGGAGGTCCTTAGACGCCTGAACCAAACAACACAACTGGTCAATATAATAAAGAAACGCAAGCTGGAATACTTCGGTTACATTATGAGACACCCTGAAAATATGATCTTTTACATCTGATCATTCAGGAAAAGATGCAAGGTAATCGTGATCCTGGTAGAAGAAAAACACCATTGCTGAACAATCTAAGGCAATGGTATGGAAAATCAACTATATCGTTATTTAGAGCTGCTGTCAATAAAGTCACGATAGCGAATATGGTAGCCAACATGATATCCAACGATCAATAACGGTCATGGAACTAGAAGAAGAAGAAAGGAATACAAAAAAATCATTTTTATCCATGCCGCCCATACTTTGATTGTAAAGTTTAATTACTGCTGAACGTTCAACTTGTCTATATGTTTTTGTATTTTTATCACAACTTTTGACAGTATCAGTAGGCTCTAATCCTATAACATTTGAGGCCATATCTACGACCTTGTTACTGAACCAACTAACTGCAACAGTATTTTGATCGGAAGTAATTTTCAATCCGAACTTCCTCTTCCTGATAGTTTCAGTTCTTTTTTGGAACGAAGTTTATCACTGATATTCTTGTCG